ATATATATAATTATATATATATATATATAGATATATTATATATATAAATTCAATTTTCTGAATGGCAGTACGTTTGGATTGCGCTTACGTGAGGGTGAAACATGATTCGCTGAAACAATGATAAGGAAAAGGGTTAAAATGTGAAGAATAGTGAAATCGCGAAACCTTAAGACTATTCTTTTTGTTATAAAGAGCATAAAAATGAATTCAGACTGTTGTGTCATTAATAACCCATTAGTGTAGCTCTAATTTGACTTGATGGATCAAATCATTTAGTTGTTAACATTATATATGAAAAGAAATATATAAAATCTCTATTGAATTGAGCAACCTTACATGTTGCCATCAGAAGAAGTCATTGTATTTAATTATAAATAAATCTATAATCTGTATATGTATTGGATTTATGTTTACAGAGAAGGAGCGAATGCTTGGAGAGATGCTTTAACACCTTTAGAGATATTGAAAGTGCAATGCCAGCGGAACCAATTAAACGGACCTCACATACGAGACTGTGAAATTCGAATAGGAAATAGAATTTTCGAATTCGATAATGCATTGATGGGTAAAATTTGTTTGGTAGTTTTCTTGAGCGAAAATTGTGATTTCAAAACTTATTTTAATCAAAACATCCTTGTGAATATTATCTTCAGTAATAAATAACTTCCAGTATTTTTTGCAGCTTGCAATCTGGTTTAAAAAAATCTTTTTAAACTTAACAGCTAAAATAAGCTCACAGCATAAATATTTTCAATTAAATTTTATTGAAAGAAATTAAACCATTATTTTCAACAGAAAATTACCTTTAAAGATAGCTTGTTTAAAGTAAAATATACAGTGCGAAAAAAAATAAACAAAACATCCTTTTGATTTAATGATGGGATTTTTCTCATACTGGGACTCAATCTCAATGGCTCAAGGTTTAACCTCAAATTTGCTATTAATTGCAGCAAAGTACCTTGTTTTTTTAAACCTATTTCCGTTATTCAATTAATAGTTGGCTCTAATAATTTAGTATATTTGAGGTAGATTCTGTAAATCATTAAAGTTTGCACTTATTACCTGAAAATCCGACTATTGGAACAAAAGTTGCTCAAGATAATTTTTTTTAACCTTACGGTACAAAGATTTCTAACTATGTAATAAATGCGTCAAGCATTATTCCAATTACACAGTTTATTTATTTAAATGAGATGTAAATGTTTTACTGCCCAGTAATCCCATATGAAGTATAACCACACATTTAGTACAGGCTTGAAGAGAAGCTTCACGTTCGATCTCTTTTTTCACTCTAAACAGTTCAGCATTTCATCCTTTTAACTATGAAACAAAAGAATTTTTATTTTATTTTCACCCATTTAACTATGAAACAAAAGAATTTGTATTTTATTTTCACCCATTTAACTATGTAGCAAAAGAATTTTTATTTTATTTTCACCCATTTAACTATGAAGCAAAAGAATTTTTATTTTATTTTCAAGCATATTGTTCACTTAAAATCTCTTGGGATAATTCTTTTCTCTCTAACTACTATTTTAATATTACCGTGCACATTTGTATTATTAAGACATTAAATATAGCCATGTTTTTGATCAAGTTTTGCTGCGACAATGTGTATTTAAGCATAAAAAGGAATTACTTACAACAAAATATAGTTTAACAGGGCATGTTCTCACGGTCGTAGCGAAATCGCACTATAATGAAGTTCCAATTTGCTCCGAATTTAATTAGGGTATGAATTTTTTTCCTAACTTCGTCTCTTTTTTTTCTTCCTTACTTTAAATGCTAAAGTTATTTATATCTCAACCTCATAAACAATGTTTCATGTACAATGATTTTTTTAAAAATATCTTCTTGTATAGGTAAAGATGGGAATTTAGAAAACTTCGCTCTCTGCTTGCTTCACCGTTGGGGTGAAATATGTCCTAAGAACGGATGTCTAGTACCAGAGCATGTCGAGACACGTACATTATACCATCCAAAAAGATCGGGAAAGTCACAGGTATGTTTCACTTCCTCCTCTATCGAATACAGTATTTTTTATTACAGTATTAATAATATTTTTCCCCGAGATTAAGAGAACGTGTATAGCTCAGTATAAATTAGAGCACCCCTGACATTATAGGACAAAATTTGGAAAATTTTATTACCGGCAAGTAGCCAATAATAACAATTAGATTTCATGCGGTTAAACTGTCAATTCTCAACTATTGATCTTATTAATGTAAAAGCATTCCTTTTGAAGCATTTCTCAAAAATATAGTAAACATTCCGGGGTTTATTTCTAAAATGTTGAAAAATTTCCTTGACCAATCCAGGTAGGTTTGTTGAAAATTTAAGTATTGTATTTAACTTTTTCAACTAATAAAATTTAGGTTCTGAGTTCTTGAACCAATAGTACAACATAAATTTGTGTTTATTAACAAACATAAAATTTATTCGTTACAAAATAAATCTTGAATAATTATAATCATAAGGATGAACTTATACTAATTTGATTATTTTATTCATTAAAATGTGTTCGAATGATTTCGTTGGTTGATTGTTGTAGGGACGATTGCTGATGTGGTTGGATATGTTTGCCGAAGATCAGACTCCATCTTCGGATCCCAGAGAGGTAGCCAAACGCAGACCAGACAGGTGATGTCAACCCCAAAGCTTTGCAATATTTTCTTTCTTTGCTTTATTTTTAATTAAAAAGAAATCAATAAAGTTTATTTAGGTAAAAAATAGTGTGTAAGCATCATAGAAACTGCAGACACTGTTCTTTAGTGATGTTGTTTCGAAAGCCACTTGCCAATACTAGTGAGCCTGCTTGGTGAAACCTAGCGAATTTAAGACAGAGGGTACGTTTCTCGTTTTTCAATGGTGCCATCTATAGCTAAGGACATGGCTTCTGCCACACACACGTCACAGCGCGTTTGCAGGGTGGACTCATTCATACATCCATTCATTCATCCAGAGATCGCAATTTTGACTTGAACCAGAGATCTATTAATCTCCGATTAAGTACCTTCAGAGGTATGGTGTACTATGGGAACATGGAGGACTTTGTGACTCGACAGATTTAACGTGCACCAGTAATCATTTTCTACACGGGAAGTCATCGCCGGCGTAGACAAAACTCTCGACTTCTTGGACATGGGCCTAACACTTAACCAACCAGGCTATCGTGGCTCTTTAGTGCTCCATCCATAAAAAGAGACGCTAGTCATTAATGGATTAATAGCACAAAATTGCCCGAAAAGATTATTCTACGTTTCAAAGTAAATTAAGAAATATTACCTGTTTTACGAAAGAAATTAAAAAATGTTAATCAAAATAGTAACTTTGCCTTTTTTTATTATCTTTTTCTAGTTATGAACTGCGAGTCATAATTTGGAACACAGATTCTGTGAAACTAGCTGATGACGCTTTTTTAACAGGAGAAAAAATGTCAGATATCTATGTTAAAGGGTATGTTTTCTTTCAGTATTTGAATAGGATTATTTGAGTATTAAAAATCTCTACATAAGTGTTCTTAGCTTCAATATTAACATCAAACAAACACGGTAATCAGTGAAGGTATACAATGTCAGCGACTCTCTAAAACACATTATAAGCCTAAGAGATCAAGATACTTTTTTTTCAATGATGATGAAAAAGTGGGTGTCTCAAATTATTTAAAAAAAAAAAATAGAAGAAATAGAATTAAAAAATAGACCTAAGAAAAAATTAAAGCCTTGTAATGTTAGATGTTGCATGGACATGATAACCATGAAAGCCTCCCAAAGTTAGTCTGATCTAACCCATGATCAATCAACCGCTGAGTAATTTATGTTGCTGTGATCGGTATGAGCTGGAAGCAAACTTCTGTCTTTGTGTTAAATAAGAAATATATAGTGAAAAAATTGAAATGATTGTGAAAGAATATAGAATGTACTAAATACTTATTATTTAAGACTTATTACCTTTACTTAAGAGAATTTTATCGTAAAAGACTAGGCTTATCGAAATAGACTTACTCGAAATAGAATGGAAATAACAGTAGCTAAAGTAAACAAGTGCCGCGTTTTAATTACCAATCAGAATCGAGATACCCACATTACGTCACTTGCAGGTATCCCATCACATGTTCTGATGCTTTTTTCCCCTACATATTTTCAATTCGAAAAAAAAACATATTTACACATCTTTTCATTCTATTACACTCATGTCCATAAATTAAGGATAATTCAGAATCACACAGAAATCAAACTCTAAAATTAAAATTTCACCTGTAGAATTATCACACTCATCCTGAAGAAGAATATGAAAATTACAGGAAACCACAAGATGACGCTGGTAGTACGTCACAATGACGAGAGTGTAAGAGAGGGGTATATAAGGAATGGTGGCAAAGAAGTAAAATTGTTCACAAGCGCTTTAAAAGCCTTTCAGTGCAATAACCGCATAGTTATGGCACAAAGGAAGCATTTGGATGATTTTTTACGTGTCAGAATCATCGGACGACTGTTATGTGGACGTACCCAGCTGGAAGTATCCGAGGAACTTGGAATCACCCAGAGTGTCATCTCCAGGCTTTGGCAACAATTCAAAGATGATGGTAATGTGAGTAGACGTTACAGCACAGGTCGCCCCCGAGTTACAACGCCGAATGAAGACGCCGTATTTGGCAGTTACTGCCAAAAGAAATAGACGGAGCACAGCATCAGATCTGTCTTGTCAGCTCTCTTCAGCTACCGGTACGACAGTTTCAAGGCAGACCGTGTACAGACGCTTAGGACACATTGGTCTATATGCTCGTATGCCTGTCAGATGTGTTCCACTTACCGCAACTCACTGTCACCTGCGATTAGCCTGGAGTAGAGAGCATGCATTGTGGACACCGCAACAGTGGTCTTGTGTGATGTTTTCCGACGAGTCCAGGTTTAGTTTGCAGTCTGATTCTCGCCGGACTTTCATATGGAGAGCACCTGGTACCCGTTACCACCAAGACAACACCATTGAACGACACCGTTACGGTGGTGCAGGAGAGCTCGTTTGGGGAGGAATTATTCTTGGTTCCAGAACTGACCTGCATGTTCAGAGTGTAACGAAGACAAGCCACATCTATAGGGATGTCATTCTGGAACAACATATACGTTTGTTTCGGGGTGCCATGGGTGCTGAATTTCTTTTTATGGACGACAACGTCCGTCCTCACCGTGCAAACATTGTAGACGAATGCCTTCAATCGGAGGATATCACCCGTATGGATTGGCCAGCATACTCACCGGACTTGAATCCAATAGAGCATGTGTGGGATATGCTTGACCGACGAATTGCAGCCCGTCAACCCCCTCCCACCCGTCTACCAGACTTTCGGAGGGCATTGCTTGATGAGTGGTGTAATATTCCCCAAGATCAGATTGATAATTTGATACTCAGCATGCCTAAGCGCTGTACGGCCTGTATTGCATCGTCCGGGAGACATACTCCGTATTAACCATCATAATAACCATGTTATACTGTTTTTTGTAAATAGGTTCTTTTTTGAAATTTGCTCCAGGGAGTAAAAATTGCAATTTTTATTAATTATGTCAAACATATAGCATCTTTTTTGCTCTTTACCTTTTGTTTAATACATAGACTTTACAAATAAGTCAAATTTGTTTGGCTTCTGTCTCTTTCTGTGCCTGAACTTCATTATCCTTAATTTATGGACATGAGTGTAAAATGCATGTTAAACATAAAATATTGCTATTTTAGGTGGCTGACTGGAAAAGATGTTCAAACAACAGACGTTCATTACAGGTAAACAAATGAAGTGCCCAAAAAATAAAAAAACAGAAAATCGTAATAACTTTTGATCCAGTTATAAGATTTTTGCTTTTCACAACGCAAACTTAACATTTAAAAAGATTCCTTTTAATATTCTACTTAATATTTATTTTCCCAGTTGAGTAATTTTAAAATTTCATTTCGCAAAAACTATCCCACTTATTTTTTTGAAATTTTGTATCTTACTTTGCTAAATTACATTCTTTAAAATGATGTAAAAATTGTCTACCTTATAATTCCAAATTTCTTCGATTATTATCAAATAAAATAGTAAAAAATAATAAATATTTGCTAAAAGTTATTTTTTTCATGGAATTATCTCTAAATGTACGAATTTTATAATTGTGGACAAAAGTGTTTCAATTCGCTTAAATAGTTCTCGAGATGTGGCGAAATATGCAAAAAGTAAAAATAGTATTAAAGGATCCGAACTTAGGACCTTCTTTCCTGATCAAACTGTTGGGACCATATTTCCTAGACTGTGGCTAACCTCTAGATTTTGGGAGTCATACATCCGAATCCGTCCAAAAAGAAAGGTATATTTATTAAGAGGAAGTACGTTTTTGTGTCTGATTTTGTAACTTAAAATATCGGCTGAGCTAATTAATTAACATGTTTGAGGTAACTCATTTGAACCATTAAGATTGAGTGAAGATCCCATCATTAGACCAAAAGTCTTTCAGTGTGGTTTGTTTTTTATTTAGCGCATATATTATATATTACACTTTCGGTACAAATAGAAAAAAGAATAAAACTTTTTATTTTTTTTTAAATTTAGGAAATGGGAAAAGTATGGCACCTAACCAAAATGGAACAAAAAATATAATATTTGAAATAAATTTTTTAAATGTGCTGCCTCAGCCATGTCTAAATAAAATGCATAGTATCTTGCTGTTGTTGTTGATGTTGTTACTTTACGTCGCACTAGAGCTGCACAATGGGCTATTGGCGACGGTCTGGGAAACATCCTGGAGGATGATCCGAAGACATGCCATCACAATTTTGATCCTCTGCGGAAGGGATGGCACCCCCGCTTCGGTAGCCCGACGACCTGCGCGCGAAGTCGAGCACTTCACGGTAGCACAGTTTAACGAGGACCAATACCGCACACCCTTGGTCCCTACGCAGACTGATCCAAGTGGTCACCCACCCGCACACTGACCGCAGCTAGTGATGCTTGACTTCGGTGATCTGCTGGGAACCGTGTCTTAACGATCAGTCCACTGCGGGACCATAGTATCTTGCATTTACCTGGACCCTAAATAGGAAACGAAAGATAGGGAAACTCAGACTTTCAATTTAGAACAATTTAAAACGAGGAAGGGATCTCTTGGTGGGAAAAGACAAATTCTGTTGCTAAGGGCAGGAGATTTTATATGCTCAATAGTATAAAGGAGGTTAAGTAAGTAAATGCCGTATTAAATGATCTGCGATTTGCTAACTAAAGTTTTTCTTCGGTCCCTGAATGGCGTGGTTAATTTTCATTGTCGTTAACTAATTGGTGAGGATAAATATAATTTGCAATTGATGGTAGTTATTGGTTATAGAGGCCATGTGCTGACGGCTGCATTTCCGAGTTTTTGCATATACGAACATTGGTTCCTATAATAGATAAGTGTCGGCTTTTAACATCACATTTTACTGTAAAAAATACCGATATTTAGTTATATATCACGATATTTTTCTAGTTTGATAACTTTATATTATTTTTCCATCAGTCAAAAGTTTCGTTACCCTAATAAAATTAATCATTTCTCACAATAATAGTATGTTCAATGATTATCGCTACGTATAATATTTTATTTTATTATCGTCATTGAACAGCCGATCCAATTTTTGGGTTTACGACTACTAGTGTTCAACTCCGTAGTCTTGAAACTTTGAAACCAATCCAGAAGACAAGGGAACTGCTGGATCAAGTATTGGGAGAAATTTTGCCTTCGTGGAGGACTTTTTTGATGGAACTAACCCTCATTTCCGTTACATGGAGAAGAAGACCACGAGAGCCTCCCACGGTTAGCCTGACAGCAAGAGGACTCTAACCCATGATCTATCTAGCACTGAGGATATTTCATGTCAGAGCTGTGGTCGATGCAAGCCGGATGCGAATTCGTCTCTACCAGCCATCACAGGGATTCGAACCCGGTTCACTTCATCGAATGCGAACGCTCTTTGATCTGTTACGTCATCAATAATGATCACGATATTTTCGTATTCGAAATAGGCTGCCACCATTTAGATGGCTATATTGCTGTATTTGATATACTTAAGTGTATTAGTGGTCACTTGTGCCCGTGTAAATTAAAATTAGGCAATGTTATGGCTGCAAACTTGGCTTCAGAGTCCTTATAATCGATAAGTACACAATTAATTAAATGTTTATTCTTAGATCTTTGACTGGAGAGGGTAACTTTAATTGGCGCTTCATTTTCCCCTTCGATTACCTTGCCACCGAGCGACAAATAATGGTGATGAGAAAGATGCACGTCCTGTCAATAGATGAGACTGAGTACAAGTTGGCAGCTTACCTTCATCTGGAGGCATGGGATGCTGATCGTTTCTCATCTGATGACCCTCTAGGTAAGTTCTAAATTAATCATCTGCTTATTCCATGAACTATGCGGCGAATGTTCATCAATTAAGAACAAAAAAGAGCAATTAAAAATAGAACAAGTTTGAGGTTTATTAAGAAAATAAATAAAAACTATTAGTATCTCTATATGGTATTTCCTGTTGTATCTATCTCGTAGTATATAGTGCATCGATATTTCACGATTAACGAAAGTCTGACTTTATTATGGGTTGCCAATCACAAAATCAATACAATTTACTTGGTCTATAATGATAACTAAGAGGGAAAAAAACACACTGAAACTTTACTTTATTAATTCAAATTGGAAAAGCGCACAAGGCATCTGAAACCAAATTTGTATTATATAAACTATAAATAAGACATAAATTCTTAATAATTAAAAAAATTATTATTAAAATTAATTATTAAGAATTTATGTCTTATTTATAGTTTATTATGGGTTGATAAATCGACCTCAGATTTTCGTAAAACTATGGAAGTTCCAAAAGTCGACTTATACACTGGCAGACATCTTTACTTTTTTATAGTTTCTCTTATTTGGACTAACAATTTTAATTTAAAATACTTATCGAGAAGTAGACTGTTTTTGCCAACAGATTGTAGATTGAATTACAAATCTCTGTACTTTATGAAAGGCAAAAATGTCTTCGACAAGGATGTTTGAACTACAAGTTTTCAAAACGTAGTAAGTTTTCTCTGGGAAAAATGGAATGAAATGCTGCTGTTTTCTTCATTCTTTTGACGTCATTAATGACAGCGAATGTTGATTTCAATGGCAAATTGTTAAGAAGAGAAACAAGGAGGTATGACAGGTATGAGGTCAGCAAAAGGTGTATTCCTCTGAAGTGCACTGTAGATTTTCCAAATATAGCGGAAGAACTTTAATTTTGTTTGGAAGTAGATAATTTAGCTAGTGGTGCTTTATAAAAACGTTTTCCATTTAAATTTTTATATATATAATAATATTGCTCTCTCAAATAGCAGAAAAATGCAGTTCCCGAAATGATTTTATCGTTTAACGCGGAAGGCTTGTAAAGTTTCACTTATTATATCCATAAAGATTTTCGTATCTTTGATATTAGTATTTTGACGATGACTTGAAAACTTACCGTAATAGCTGACTCCTCGTAATGTGGCTTTAAGAGCTTTACTTATTATTTTGTTTTGCTTTAATTTAGGAGCCCTGACCATCAATTTGAATCGTGTTCCTAGAGGTGCAAGGACCGCGAAGTTGTGCAATCTCTCGATACTTCAGGACGCTACTACTCCCAAAGTGTCACTCTTTAAACAAAAACGTGTTAAAGGATGGTGGCCACTGACAGAATCACTCAGAGATGGTAAAAGGGAACAAACGGTAAGCATTTCTTTGTTTCAAGAATGGTTAAAGCTTATAGAAAATTAATATACACTCGCATGTTTTGAGTAAAAAGGTTCACTATATTGTCATTATTTAGAGTGTAAATATTTTATTCGAATATTTATTAATGGCTGTTTGATAGTAAAAGTATATTACAAATTATATACCTAGAAACATAAAAACATTCCGCCCTTCACAGATTCTTTAAACCACCGCATCCCTGATGCGTATATTTTTCGCGGGGAGATGATAAAAGCGAATGAAAAGATGAAATGATGCAGTTTAGATGTTATGGGCAATGTAATTAATCAGTTAGTATTAATAATAGCTGGTTATAATTGATAATAATTTAGTAAGTCAGTTAAAGTATCTAGGAATATATCCCGGGCAGTGGAAATTAACTTTACAAAAATTGTCAGTGTAGGGTATATCAGGCGAATATATACCGGTAATGGTACTTATTTTTTAAAAAAAACATCAATTTGATGCTTCTCATGTTGGCAGAGCATGCGCAGTGGATGGTTAATGAATGTAGCAACTCATATGATGAAAACTTGTAGACTGATAAATTTTTTTTGTTGTTAAATGCAGTACCATCTCTATACAGCACACAACGGAAAAAATAATTACTTATAATAACAACATAAACATATAAGGGTAACATCGTACATCAGCCGGATACAACGTCATAGTTACGTGAATTATTTAAGTGACTTATTGAAGTGACCACTATTTTCAACAATGCGTACCTTTTATACAAATTAAGAAATGACACGTCCATGTCACCCATGTTCTCTGTAAAAGAAAATATACCGGTTGCCAGCTCACGATCGAAACTTTATTCTGTTAATTCAATATGCTCAGAGGTGTAACGTACCACTCCAACAGTATGGTATACTGGGCTCTATTTTACAATTCACCAGCCTTTAACTTATGTATTTGTGTTCGCGTGTTAATGATAACTATTACAGAACGCCCTGCATAATTATGTGATATTTATATTTTTTAGGGTAAAATTGAAATAGAACTCCTTCTTCTTACGGCTGAAGAAGCACAAAACTCCCCTGCTGGTCTAGGCAGAAAGGAACCCGACGCACTACCAGAGCCCAAGTAAATATTGATTATTTTGTAATTAATCCTTCTTTAAGAAATACAGAAATCAATAACAATAGATTCACAATCTTTTCTTTACTAGTCTTTTAAAAATCTCTAACTATAGATTTTTTTTATGTTAAAACATTACCATTATTTTAACTTTTTTGATTTTTCACCCTCATTGGCACAGCCAAGGAGTTTTAAGAGTATAAAATCCCACCCAGAAATCAGACCCATTAATTAAATAAAACAGTTACTGATTGATCGATCAGAAATTAAATTTTATTCATAAAAAACTGCAACATTTTTGAATAGCGGACAACTCGTAATATGCCGAACTCTTTATATTGAACTTTTACTGTTCTCTGTTTTTATACGATACTTTACTTTTTTTGCAATAAGTATTCTAGAGACATGCGTTAAAATTATTGATTAAATAAACTAATTATTGATTTAATTAACAGGTAAATTAACTAATTGGGGTTGCTGATAATAGTACCTACAGTTTGATTAAATAAATGTCTGTTTTATTGTTTTTTTCCAGGCGACCTGAAACTTCTTTCATCAACTTCGTACATCCACTGAAAACCTTTCGTTATGCTTTCTGGAAGCGATACAAGTGGGGGACGGTAAAATTTTTAATAATTGGCACTTTAATTCTTCTTATTGTACTTTTTTTCTTTGCTATTCCGGGATATGCTGTCAAAAGACTCCTTGGAGTCTGAATGCTTTCTTATTAAAAGTACTTTACTCACGTAAGTTGTTGTTTGATAATTGACGTTCTGCATATTAATTCCGTCCCTTAAACATTAATTTAGGACCTCTAATACGCACATATATGTATGTTTTTACCTTGTGCTTGCATCGTTAAAGGGCAGTCATTCTAAAACAGACTCGGTGGCTGCTCAAAATTATGTCAGCATATTTTTGACAAATTTTGACCACCCTATTACCCCCTTTTCAGCAAAAAATAAGCAAATGTCGGACTCCTCCCATGTTTACGTAAGAAAATCGTTTCAACCAAGGGCGCCGGCAGAATAATATAAAAAGGGGTGCAACCCTTTAACAAACTACCCCCCCCCAAAAAAAAAGAAAAAGTGAAAATATTCTGTTATTACATTTTGTTTTATTATTACATATACTTTCATCTGTTAATTTTTTTAAGATACATTTCTTCATTGTTAGCAAGATATTTTTAAAAAAATACGAATTTCTTGTACTTGCAAATTTTGCCACTAGAAACTGTACTGATGGCGCTGGCATAGCCACTGACTTTGAAACACAAATAACTACAAACAGTAGTTTCGTATACTAACATGTTTGTGCACGCTTAACATTGGTATTTATTGTGTTGATGAAGTTTTACAGTTGCGAGAAGTCAGTTTGTGTTCTACACCTTTGTTAAACTAAATAACTTATAGAAAATATAATGTTATTTATATTTCATTAAATGAAATTTGAAAATATGGCTCAGTGAGAGAACAATCAATTTCTCAGTCTCAGAACAATCAATTTCAACGTTGAATATTTTACAGTGATATTTTAAATACATCAACATTATATTTTTATTATATTGATATTACATTTGTATTTTCGGTTATTTCATTTAACTTATAATCGGAGCAAAAATAAATATAGAACTCTTTTGAAAAATGATTTAAAATTTTCTTTATATCGAATTTTTTTTATTTACTGTGACTTCATAGCTTAAAAGTTGGGGAAAAGATTCAGTTGAAAATTATTTATTTAATATTATTTTTTTTTTGTTAAATAAAATTAAATGCGTTCGGTTATTTTAAATTTATTACATTTCTGATAAAAAATAGATAAAAAAAAGTTTTTCTATAACTTATTGGCAATTTCTACTGATTTATCATTTACTTTAACTAAAACTCTTCATAGAAAATGTAGAAAAAACTTTACAAAATGCTTATTATTAATTATATTAAATGAAGGTCGTAGTTTTATTAGTTTGAACCGTTGTAGCTTTGGGAAAGCAGTTTTTTGAAAACATATATTTAAAATTGTTGTAGAAAAAGTACTAGATTGCGCTTTACTTTATCGCTCCATTTAAGATACATATTCTATGAATTATTCCAATATATGTTATATTTATTTTCAAATTGTGGGATAGCTTGATTGGCTGGGTGCTGGACTCACGTTCATGAGAACAGGAGTTCAAATCCAGCTGGCTGAAAACTCCCCGTGTAGTAAATAGTGACTGGTACATGCTAAATTTGTCGGTTCATAAAGTCCTCCATGTTCCAATAACAAATTAAACCTCTAAGCGTACTGAATTGGAGATGGATCGTTCTCTGGTTCAGGTCAAAATTACGATCTGAGGACAGAGCCGGATTATTTATTTATGCCGGATTATTATTAGCCGGATTATTTAACTTTCGTAGGCCCTAGGCATAGCCGTTTCAGTGCCCTCCCCTCCTTCCCCCACTCCTCCCCTCTCTTCAAAATATATGCTAAAATTTTCTTGCATATTTTTTTTTACATTTTTATTAATATGGATTTTAATTTACGAATTTGTTTATCGAACTTTATCTGCAATACCGACATATTGCCGATATTGCTTTTGGTATCGATAATACCGTTATGATTAGTTCGATAGATAACTATGTAAACACTTCACGTCAACAATACAACAACAAACCAGCAAAGAAAACAGTGAAATTGATAGTGAGATTAATTACAAGAAATATTTATACTGCAAATAGCTTCATAGTTTTCATGATACTACTATGATAACTAAGTCTATCATAGTAGTATCATGAAAACTAGCGCCATTTTAGATGTATTAATTCAGAAATGACTAAAAGGCGTAAAGCTTACAGTGATTTGTACGATAATTTCGGTTTTCTTGTTCACAAAAATTTGTCAGAATCTGAGATTAAACTAAAAGCGCAAAATTTGGTGAAAATTTGCTCATTCGATTTAGAGGAAAACTTTGTACATGAATTTTTACTATTTTCAAATTTTTATGAACATAAATCTGCACAAGAAATGTTGAAGGCTCAAATTAAAGATAAACTTGTGAATACTTTTCCTAACGTTCACATTGCATTAAGAATATATTTGTCGATTCTTGGATCAAATGCAGAAGGAGAAAGATCTTTCTCCAGATTAAAATTGATCAAAAATTATTTGCGTTCAGCAATGAATTAAGATCGTTTGGCATCGCTCGCACTTATGTCTATTGAATACGACATTTTGCGTAGTTTGGAATTCGCCTGGTCCAGAAATTCTATTATTTTTTAGGTTGGGTTCCAAATTACAAAATTTTTAACATTTGTTGTCTTAAACTCAAAACTGGGTAGTCTGTCCAACGCTGGTTATAAAATATTTTGCCTAATGTTATGAAACCTTAAACTTAATTTTTCAAATATTAGGCTTGAAGCATTTCGAGGAATTTTTTTTTTTGTTTTTTTGTTTTTTTGAAGTTGCTAGTTTTGCTGAAGTTCATATTTCTTTTATTGACTGCGCATACCAATCGTCGAATGCAATGGTTAATTTATGACAATTATTTTTTAAACAACTTTTATGTCCTCAAAATGAAATAAACTATTTTTCCTTAAAACAATTAGGTACCAAATTTAAAAAAGAATCGAGCTAAGCAATTTTAAGATTTATTAATTTAAAGCTGCCGTTTTACAGAAATTAAGCTTTTTCAATGATTTCCTACAATAAAGTATTCACTTCTGAATTTATGAAATGTGATATCTGACTGTTATTAAATTTTCCATCGAAAATTGCATCATTGCTAAGGAATTAAATTATTTTTAAATTTAAGATACTTGAAAACTTATTTAAAAACTCGGGGATCTATTTATTTCAATATAATAAATGAGAGAATAAAATAGTTAACATTTACAGATTTATATAAAATTGCCATTTTTCAGAAATATATTTTATTGATTTTCTATAATAACATCTTCACATTTGATTTTATAGAATACGATATTACTTTTTTTAATTAATCTTTCGAATAAAATTGTATCATCACGAAATAATTAAAATATTTTTAAATAAAAACTTCAGGATCTATTTTTCATTTTTTTTTGGCAATTATATAATAACTCAAAAAATTAAGTAGTAAATATTTTAAGATTTAGTAATTTACAATTACCATTTTGCAGAAATATTTAACTATTTTATGGAATTCCTATAACGTAATTACATCTTAAGGGCTGAAATATTTAATCTTATTAATTTTTATTATTTTTTATTATTTTTATTAATTTTATGGAACGTATTTATACAAATATTGCTAATTAGTCAACTGGTTTATTGATTTCCTACAATTACTTACCTATATTGATTTCCTATATATAAATTTATTGGAAGTGATATTAAATTTATACTAATTTTCTCACATTTTCCGCTAAATAATTATTTTATCTATCAATAAGTAAATTTTCTTTTTTTTCGCGTTTCTTTTTTTGCGTATATGTCATCAATTTTTATCTTCTGCGTTTCTTTTTTTATCGTTCAATAGTTTTTTTCGAATCCTTTTTCTCCGTTTAAAGGTGAATTAGAAAGTACAAAGTTCTAGATTAATGCACAATTTGAATTTTTTGGTGACGTTCGGTTATAACCTTTGAATTCTAATTTCTTTTCTAATGATATCAAATATATTCACAATTCCGGTCTAAAGATAGCATCCTGAAAAACCAACCTTCGCCCACTTACTATATTAAGGGATAATTAGAATGATAAGGAAGTGATTTTAATAATTTTCAGATCTCAGGGGGCACTTCAGAATCTCATATAAATATACCTGAATATTTACCTCGTTCCTTACAATCCTTGCAATTTTTTACTTCTTGCAATTCTTCATTCTTTGCAAACAATATTCATACCTTAAGTTCTTGCATACATTTTGTTGATATTTCTTCCACCTTATTTTTATGTGTAAATTTGAGTAAAATTAAATACTGTTCAAATTTTAATTTTTCTAAAAATTTACCGTTTTGTAGCAATTTAATTTCGATGGATAGTTTCACAATAGGAGATAAGAAAATAAAATTATTAAATATCAGTAAAATATACTTATACATTTGTTGATAATTTCTCTTCTTTATTTAGCTATTTATTGTGTTTATTAACTATTGCGTGGAATTATTTAGGTAATTGTTTTGCGAATTATTGAATTCAAACTAAATTAAATTTCATTCGAGTACATTTTTACGATAAAATAAAACTCAGATTTAATTCTGATGCAACTATATTTTAATATTATTAAACTCTATTCAAGTTTTAATTTTCTCAGAATTTTGTTTTCATTTTGGGGCATTTTTTCTACATTAGCCTATCTATACATAATAATAAACGCGGCTGTGTGTCTGTAATCACAATATATCGCCCCAGAAGCCTCTCCCAGGCACGAAACTCGGCACATAATTGTGTTTTGACATAATGAAGAAGTGTTTTTTTTCTTTTTCAAAAATTTGGATTAGTTTTTTAGTTATCAGTCATTTTGTAAGAAAATCTATGCTTTTTCGTCTTCAAAGAGCCATATTCAAAAAACTATTAAAAAATGCATATACTTTTCTCCACTCTTATAAATGTATGCTAATGCGAACCTTACAATTGAAATATTAATTTTCGACAACTTAAACCAATAATATACGAAGGAATTAATAATTTAATTGTAAGGTTCGCATTAGTTTACATTTATCAAAGTGGAGAAAAGTTTAACTTTTGTATTAAAAATGTGGCAACATATTCGATACGTAAATAGAACGCTTCGCTTTGATATATTTGTCGCTGTTCATAATTGTTATAATAAGTTTTTCTTCTTCTTTCCACGCTCTATTTTTTTTTTTTAAAGCGAAGACGATAATTTTTATAGCGATATTGTAGTACTTTGTACAACTAAAAATTCTTTTCACAACACTTTAAAAATATTTACTTTATTTTCTTTATATATACAGAGAACAGTCGGCAAAGAATTCGATTAGGTTGAAAAACATTTCGCTAAAAAGGAACGAATTCCAAAAGAAAAAATAAACAACTTAAAGAATAAAAATGCTGATGCCAGCCAATTTTTTGAAAGTTAACTTAGAAATAACAAACCAAACGATGTTAAATAACAAACCAAACGATGTTAACAAAATGACGTAGAAAGCGCAACTAGATCAAAATTATACAAGCACAACTAGATCAAATTATAATACCTGAGTGCTTGACGTAACAGATATAGAAATAGAATTTGATACCATAAAAAATTATATAGAAATAGAAATTGATACCATAAAAAATTTATTCGTTTTCGTGTTCTTTTCATGTATTTAGCATTTTAGTTTTTTTTTTTTTTTTAAGCGTTGTAGCTATATAATTTCAAACATCCTCAAGAGCTATAACACATCTGCAGCAGAACTGGATATGAAGACAAAATTGCTGGACAGAAACACTTTAACTGTCCACTAATCTTCAGATTTCCTGCTATGTTTTAAAAAACTTTATTTGTGGAAACCTTTAGCGTGGCGGACAGCTGGCCGCCTTAGGCGGCTAGTAGTAAATAAAATAAACTTACATAGTAAATGATTAGTTAATATCAGGCATATATTTCTTGTCAGAATTTTCCTCTCTCTATATAACTAACAGCGTGTAAATTTTATTTATTTATAACATTATTTTGATAAAATAAACTTTATTCTTAGATAATTATTTTTCGCTGATTATTGTTTACATAGTAAGTTATAATTTATCCGAATATATTTTTACGATAAAATGAAACTCAGATTTAATTCTGATGCAATTATATTTTAATATTATTAAGCACTATTCAAGTCTTAATTTTCTCAGATTTTTTTTTCATTTTGGGGTACATGTTCTTACATTAGCCGATAGTAAATTAAAAAAAAATAGTAAATGATTAGTCAATATCAGGCAAATATTTTTTTTGTCAAAGTTTTTCTTTCTCTGTATAACTAACTATTGCGTGTAGATTTTATTTACTTACAGCATATAATTATGATAAAATAAACTTAAGTTCATTATCTGATTAATATTTGAATACTATTAAATGTTATTCAAAGTTTGTAGTTTTTAATAAATTGTTTATTTGGAAGAAAAAAATACTATTCTAAACTTCATATTTAGATCCTAATTTTATTATAGTTAATCGAAGTATTGGAATTGTAGATTGTTTTTCTAGGATTTAGTTATCATATTTAAATAATGATGATTTCTTTTCAGAAAAATAATTATAAAAATGAAGACTTCATTGATTCTGATTGCTTCCATTACGGTTGTGGCTAGTAGTCCTCTTGGTAATCTGCATTCTCTTTTTTAAAATAAAAATAGTAAATTGCAGTTTTCTTTCTTTAAAACTAAGTTGTTTTAAAATTGCATGCTTATTCATTGTTCTGTTGAAATATTAAAAAAATAATATTTTAACTTTGATTGCAACTAATATCTTTTTTAAGTAAATTTTTTTCCAAAAGCATTTTAAAGGGAGAGCATCAAGATTGATGCAAAGTTAAATTAAAATTGGGAGATTTCTCTGTTTTCGAATTGTTGGTTTATTTTGGTAGAATATATCGGGACTAAGTTCATTAAGAGTGAGAAATATTTTAGCTTTTATAATTGTGAGGATATTTTTTTCTTTAAAATTTCACATAATTAAATTTTTTTTTTTTAATTTTTACTTTACGTCGCAAAATTGTACGAGTTCTAAGACTTTTAATTTTTAAAAAAATTGTTCTTTTCCTTGTTGGGCTTGAAAGTTGAACAAGTATTCTTAATAAATAAATATTTTTCACTGAAATTTAGGAAATGCAATTGTAGGAATGCTTTTTCAATAGAATCTAATATAATTATAAACTTTAATGCTTTTAATCTTTTATTTTTGGGTTCCAAAATTGTAAAATTGAGCTAATTTTATGACTTTTAAACAGAAATATTTTCTTTATTTAGGTCTAAAGTTAAATAATTATTATTAATTAACTAATTCGATATTATTTATAATATATAATTGTAGGGATACTTTTTCTTTATAATCTTGCATGATAACACTTTTGGATGTTTTTTGTCTTTTTGTCTTGCATTCCAAAATCGTACCAGTTTTATGACTTTCAAACAAAAAATAATTTTCGCTATTTAGTTAGAAAATTGGACAAATATTATTAAAAAATTAGTTTTTATTCTTAAAATTTAGCAAATACAAATGTGGAAATTTCACATAATTACAGATTTTGATTTTTTTCTTCTTTGCGTTCCAAAAATTGCAAAACAAATAATTTTCGTTGTTTGGTTTGGAACTTGTACAATTATTATTAATAATCAATATTATTTGCCAAAATTTGCTAAATACAAGAGTAGGGATACTCTTTATCACAACTGAAACATGTATAGGTAACAAATATGGATAACAGAATACAGTATACAGAAATAAAATTCTTTCTAACACTAATTGAATTTTCATTCTGAAATTACGGTAAGATGATAAGCAGTTGTCTGTCCATCAGATTAACCAAAAATAAAGTTTATGGAAAGGAATTTTTTTTTTTTTACCTTTACAATTTTGTAACCGTTTGCTATAGGTACGGTTTGAGAATTCAAAACGTGAATTGAAAATGATACGGTTTTGTAACCATTTACAACTAGCATAGATTATTAACCATAAAAATTAAACTTAAACGGACAGTAGAGCTCTGTGGGTGCTGCGCCATTTATGGGTGAATGGTAATCTCGTATTCTAATAGTTCAAGGTCACTGACTGATGGACAGAGCAGGACACTAGAAACTCTTCATTTATTGATGAAAAAAAAATCAGGAAATAAATATTGTAATATCGACTCTCGCATTCGAAGCCCTGTTTAGCCGGTCTTTAAATTGACCGATTAGCCCTCTTAGCTACAAATGTACCTAGTTCCACGGAACAAAATGGATTTTAAGGTGGGCCTAGTTGGCGCTGATAGAATTCTGGTTCATTAACCGTATTAGGTGAAAAATCAATAAAGTTTTTTCTCACACTTAACAGTTTGTGTATCATCATCTTTTTATGGTTATTTGACTGTTTTGGTTGAATACGGTAAACTGACAATTAAATAAATTGTTATTTGACCATTTTTGACAAAAAAAAAGTTCTAACAGCGTAATTTACGATTTTGATATTTTGTCATTGAGTGGAGACAGAATTTCAATCACAAATTAATTTCAGATGCCTTACATACATATTTCTTTTCTAGGAAGAAGCAGCTACATTGATGCTATCAAACGATGCAATACATATGTGGATAAATTACTGGTGAACACAGCGAAAAATAATAATTTGGAATCATTTCCCGTTTACCGAAGAGAACTTAACTTTAGGAAGAAAGTAGTTTTCTATCCATTCAAATGCTATGCCAACTTGACAGAGGGTCACATTACAGGATTGGGCAATCTTCATCGAAAGGGCGCATGCTCCATATCCTATCATAACAGAAGACTGAAAATTCACACAGAAACCGAAACCAAACAAATTAACTTCAATTTCACTGGCAAAGCATCCGTTATCGGTTCAACCGCTGACGTCATGATAGACGCTGTTACCTCTCCTTTGAAAATCGAAATGGATTTCTCATTTAATGGCTCATCAGGTGACGCTGGCAAGTTGGACAGCTACAGGCCAACCGTCATATCGAACATGAATGTTTGGATTGATGGCCTGGGTATGATGGAATGGATAAGGAAACCCATGGAAGAAAACGTGGAAGAGTTGTTCTTTAACTTAATTAATACATTGACACATCACCATCTGAAAGAAGCGCTTAGTGAGGATATTCAGAAGAATCCTTTTTCTATAGAAGACTACGAAGATATTTATGCATCTACAATTGAGCCAGTCACTGAAGACCATAGAACAACACCTCGTGGTAAGCAAAAAAAATTTATTTCCTTAATGCAGCGATTCTCAACCTGTGGGGCGCGCCCCCCTAGGGGGGCGCGAGCACACCACAGGGGTGGCGCGAGAATATTCAAGTGAAAATATTATTTAAAAAAATTGATTAACTGGATGAAAGGAAAGCGCACATATACATAGAAAACAAAATACATTTTGACATATTTAATAACTTATTAAAGTGAAACAACTTATTAAATCAAAACTTAAGGTGGGGAGCCAAGGGTGGCTTTGCCTTAAGGATTTTTTTATAATTTTCTGATTAAGTCTGTGTATCTGAATTTTTTCTGTAACATCTTACACCTATCTCTAATATATATCACGTATACTTTCAATTGTAAAATAAAATTTCATTTATTTTATAGTACAATTTTAAAATTTTAGCTTCTGCACCTAAGGTTTCGCACAAGGTCCAAAGTTGAGCCATGTTTTGAAATCACTTTTTCACTTACTCAAATTATCTTTAGAAAAAACACTTGGACTGGCAAACTTCTTTTAAAAAGGCACTTTAAGTGTCTTGCTGGTAGGAACAAGTTTCCCGACTTTAAAAAAGATATTTGTTTTCAGAGTGTATAATTTGTTTATTGATTTTACTTTGATAGTTCTTGTGTGAAGTCACTAGCGATTCTTTTGAGTTCACTCATTAGAATTAATCAAGAATTATTGAGTTAATTTTTTCAGAAGGATTAGCCAACAAGTAAGAGTTAAATAACCATACTAGAGTTAACTAACTAAACCCATAACTAATCTAAAAATACCCAAATTTGCAAGAAAATACCAGAATCGACCACAAAAACACTCATAACTACCACAAAAATAAAAAAAATACCTGAAAAATGACTTTAAAATGCAAACAAAACAAAAAACTTGAAACAAAATATCGCAAAGTCTACTAAAGTGCAGAGAACGTCAAAATATTATAAAAATTTAAAAAATACCAAAGTTCCACATTTGCTTAAAATGAAATAAATCAATTGGCATTTAATTCAAGCATTCCTTTTTGAGAAATAATATGCTACGTAATGATTTATAATTAACTCTTTTATAGATTTCACGTTTGCTTCCGAAGGTGGCCCGAGTGTCGCGCCACTTGGGAACATACATAAGGTCTCTCTTACCATTTGCACGACATAAAACTATTAATCTGATAGATTAATTCGAATTAAAGTAATGTGGTTAAAGAAAAAGAAATAAACTTTCAGAAAACATATTATAACTCAAAGTTCTAAGAATTTAAACACATTATCTTCTCACCTGGAAATTAGAACGACAACTGCAAATAATTAAATCACTTCATACAATGGAGGCCATTCAAGGAAATATCTTCCAATTCAGCCTCGTGCACCTCAGATACAAGATTTACAATGCAGAAGGGACATCTTATGATTCAAAATAAATTTCATTTTACTTTGGGGGGGGGGCTACGTTAGGAGCACTGGCCACCTTTGGCTTACCCACCTTACTTAATCAAACATACTAAATTTTTAAAAAAAATTAATAATTTTTAGTGACTTCCTTGGGTCTGTCCTGCAGAGCAAAGTTTTTTGAGGTGAGGCTTAATATTAGAAATAGCCACTCTCAGTCCTGTTTCTATATTTAGCCGTGATCTATATTTTGTCTTCAAAGAAGCCACAGCAGAAAATCCAGTTTCACAAAGGTAGGATATTGAAAACGGTAATAGAATGCGAAATGCCCTTTGTTTCAGTGCAGAAAAATCCTCCTCCTGCCAAAATTCAAATAGTGATTTATTACTAAATTGCATTTCAGTTTCGCCACTTGTCGTGAAGTCTATGAATTTTTCTTCCTCATCAATTGAGAGTCCTTCGGGAGTCTTATGAAATGGATTCCTAACCCACTCGTAACTTGCTAGCAGTTTGTCATGAGCAGGAAAATACTTTTTAAAATTCTTTGCCAGCATGGCTAAATGATTTTCAATGGTTACAAACGTAACTTTCATATATTCTTCTTCAGCCTTATAAGTTTTAGTACAATTATCCACATTTGCAAACATTGTTAGGTTTTTTTGCTTTAAATTTCTGCCCCACAATTCTAATTTTCTACAAAAAGCATTAACTTCATCACTCGTATCCAACATATGTGTATTTGCTCCTTGGAGTTTAAGATTCAAGTTATTTAATTTCTCGAATATGACGACCAAGTATCTCAATTTCATCACAAATAAACAATAGTGTAAATTCCCGGTTTCCGGTCTGTTATCTTCTAAGAAAATGACGATTTCTTCTCTTAATTCATGAGCACGTTGCAAAAATTTCTCACGTGATAAACATCTTGCCTCACATTTAAATAGTAACTCTGAATGTACTGAACCCATGTCATTACAAAGAGCAGAAAAGATTCTCGATCTCAGAGTTCTCATTTTCATATAATTTGAAATGGTTACAACCGCAGTTAATACACTATTTAAACCAGGACGTATTTCTTTCGAACCCAAAGCTTCTGTGTGGATCATGCAATGTGTCCAGACGCATTGAGGCGATTTTTGTTTTACTTGTGCTTGTATACTTTCGAACCTTCCGGATATTGAACAAGCATATTCCGATGCATATTCCAGTGCATATTCCGATGCAATTTTTGCATTCTGTGTTTGCATCTTTCATAACATCATTTAAAATAGCAAATAATGCTAGCGCTGTTGTTTTGAGTTCTATTGATTTGCAGAAAAGTAGTTCTACTACTGACATATTATCACAAAATCAAAATCAAACATAGGCAATGAAATGAGCATCTTTATTAATATCTCTTGCTTCAAAGCTTATTGAAAACATTTTGTCACTCAACATAGAGAAAAGCTGACACTACATTTTCAGCTGTATCACCGATTCGACGAGTAACAGTATCATTTGAAAGAGGTATGGACTGTAATTGTTTTGAAAAATTAACTCCAAACATAGTTTCTACAATCTCAATTGCTGCAGATTTTTACTTTTCTTTTGTTTTGGCAGTTAGTTAAAAATAATTTAAAGACAGAATTAAAAATACTCAATATACATTATTGTTGCATACATTTTACTGCAAGTGGGGGGCGCGATGAAAATTATGATTTAAAACTGGGCCGCGAATACTGAAAGGTTGAGAAACGCTGCCTTAATGTATCATTTTAAATATAGAAGTTCAAGACTTAAGAGTATCTTAATTTCCATCATGCATAAATTGATTAAATGGTGACCGATAACAAAAAGAATGAATGGGGACGATGCATTAATGTTACAAGTTCACTTGATATAGTTCAGTCTGATAGGTGGGACACCACTTTCCTTCGTAGACGTAGCAAACTAATTTTGTGACGTAGCAAAATTAATATTAACTGACCGTATAGCCAAAATTTAAATATTAGCCTAATTCTTGCTCTGTATAAAAGAATACCCCTTACCATCCCTGCACAAGGACTGATATTTTTTTCTGCATACAAGAAGAAATAATACTTGTTACGTAACAAAATGCGTTAAAAAAGTTTTCTTGGCTGTGAAGATGGAGCAACTAGAATGAATGGGGAAAATGCATTGCTGTCATACTTACTTACGTCGTCTTAACGTCGTGACACTCTTCACGTCGCCTTAAAAAGCACGTCTTCTTATCAATGATCTCCCAGTCTTTAGATTAAGATTTTGTTTTCACTAATCCTTTAATCTTTTAAAATATCCTTTAATTTGTCTCTGTTCATTCATTCTTAATCTTCCCCTTTTTCTCCTGCCATCAGGGGCCAAAGAAAGAGAAACATGCGCAAATTTTTCCCTTGGCATTCTCAGTACTCGTCTCTTTTATTTCCAATTTTTCTTATTGATTTTAGCTTCTACTAATAGTGTTTCGTTCCTAATTTTAAAAGGCTGAAAGATTTTGGCATTATTGTCATAAACAGCACCAAATTCACCTGATCTAGTTTAGCCAGATAAAAAGGATAATATTCTCTATAGACGTAGAAAATTAATTTTGTTACGTAGCAAATTAATTTTGTGATGTAGCATAGTCAACTGTTAACTGACCTTATTACCAGAATTTAAATATTTGTCTTAATATTGATCAACATAAAATATCACTTTCCATATTTGGACAGGGACTGGAATTTTTTTAAAGCAAACTCATTACGTAACAGAATCGGTTAAACTTTTCCATCGTTAAGACGATAGAGGGAAATATTTATATTTTTCTCAATCTTAATTTTTTTTTTATCATGTAGCTCAATTTTTAGCCATATTTTTCCATGTTTTCCCATATTGCACTTAATAATTATCACCCTCTTTGTAAGTATAATAGCCTTATCAAAGTTACGCGATTAACCTACTCTTCATACTTTTCCCATTTCCTTTACCATGGTTTATGTAAATTTTGCTTTTTCCCTACAAAGATAAGTGTAAGACAGAAAGTGAGATATTCTAGAGAGGGGAAAGAGTCATATTTGCTAAAAATGCCTATTTCATTTACAAGGAGTATAAAACATGTAAATTACCTTTAAGTAATTTTTTAAATATGATTTTTATACTAATGTTTCCATGATTTTAATACTATTTAGCTTTAATAAAATCCCATTTTTCCTGTAGGCAAAGAAGAATATAGTATAGAGGATTCTAACAGTTACATCGACTCTGTTCTAACCAACCGGTTTTTGTTCGAATCGAAGTATAGCAAGCTGGATCCTCTCGCTTTGAGTAACACTCGCTTGGAAAAAGTTTTTGTCCGAGATCCTCAAAACGAAGATGCAAATTTCCTCAAGCTTGAGAAGGGCGAATTTGAACACCTGTCCAACGTGAGGAGGAATTCCGAATGCAGCATTCCCGAATTCAATGAAAGAAACATTACTTTTGAATGCTCTCTTGGATTCAATGAATTAACTCTGCAGTACCAAGCCGAAGCACACAATGGTAGTGATGTTTATAATTTCCAGCTCATCGTTAGAGTCAAACAAACAAAATTATCGTTAAAGGTTACGTCTACCTTAAGTGACAATGTTCCGACAATCCTTGACTATTCAGTCGACGATGTGGGCAAAATCGCCATAACAGCTGCCATAGATATTGTGGGTGCCCAAACGAGATCACCCTCTTCGATAGAAACTCTCTACAACAGCAAAGTCATCCTGACGTACTTTTCCGAAGAAGTAAATAGCATTTTGAAAGGACGATTTAAAGAAGTCTTGAACTACAGCATTTACAAAACACCTCTGCATTTCTTGGACTCCTAAAATGTATCTTCTGTTAAAAAGTGATTGTTCCGTTACCTGAAATGTAGGACAGCTAGCTAGGTTTTTGAAAAGGGGCTCAAGACACAAAATTTCGAAACTTTTTCAGTTTAAAATTATGCAAACATTAAATATTAATTTTATCTGGAAAACGTAATCTGCCATAATTTCTATTCTTCTTTATTACACAAGAATTAGTTAGCAATTTGTGGCATCTGTAGAAATCTTTACAAACGAAACAGCTGATGTATTTACAGATTTTGTATTAAGTCAATAGCGTGGAGTTCTTTTTTTTTTTCAGGATAGGTCGTAAGACCAAGCGATATATTTTGAGGAATTCTTAACAAAAATTGAAAAAATACTGTATCCATTGTGGTTCTCAAATTAAAAAGGGGAACAATTATCAAAACTTGACGAATTATGAACGAGAAGGGCCAAGTTGAAAGCACCAAACCTTGTTTGCTGACTGAAGAAAGCGAAAAGAGAGTAAGCAATTATGGAATGATCTCTAAATTTCATACAAACATTCTTCACATTTCGATAGCGTTTTTGTTTTTAAATAAAATGTCTTCCTTTTGGACGAGTGTTCTAAAAATAGGAATGAAGAGTGATAATTTTAAGACACTCTGCGTAAAAAATAAATTTGAGCGAATGGCATATAAAATTTCTTCCTCAAATTATTACAAAATTGTTAATTTTTGAAAAAAAAAATTTCGTGTTATATCCAAAATTGGCAAAAGTAATTTTTGAACATTTTAATTTTCTTAAAATACGTGAAATATTTTGATTTAAACATTTTCCCCACATTAAGTATTTGAACAGAATTAAATTTAATACAATAATATAAACATTTTTAAAAAAAAGTTCGTAAAATGTGTTTTAATGCTCCCTAACTGTAAAACATTGGAATGTCTTATTTTTACAGGAGAACTGCATTTGAATGTATAACTTGTAAATAATAGAAAATCTTTTATTTATTAATGGATGAAATTGTAATAAAGTGTACATATTAAAATAATTTGTTTAGTGAATCTCTTACTTTAATGATTTACATTTTATAATACAACTAGGGAGTTTTGCCTCTACTCGCTGCCGCTCTCAACTATTACAACGCAACAGCAGCTTGGTAATAAGTGGGAGTAACAGGGAGTGGATATTAGAGTGTGTAGCAAGGGAGACTACAAAAAATATTACAGGAGATATTTTTTTTCAAGATTTTTTTAACAATAAAAAATATTTATTAAAATATTTCCAGAATTATGTACTGTAGAACCCCGTTATAATGAATTGTATGTGGATCTAGCAATAAGTCAACTATAAACGGTATCTAGTTCACTATATCCAAATTTTTTAAAAATGACCTTTTAGCATATCACAATACCATTATTGTAAAAAGTTATTATGTTAGTACGTATTTTGTGCTTTTAAAATAATAAGCAATTAAATAGATAATACATCAAATATAAAAAAGGAAAATTAATGAAATAATTTTTACATTCTGGGAAACAAATCAGTATTTTCGATTGACTGTACGATTTGATTTTCAGAAGAGCTTACCAATTTTTGTATCAACAATCAGTAAAGAATTCAATGTTTTCTGGTTCTCATTTGAAAAAAAAAAAAAATTGAAAACATCCAATGCTAATTTTACTTCCGAGATAAAAGTTGCCAAAATTTCTTTTCCTTCTTTAACATAAGGGGAGGAATGTGCTGATGAACATATTCTTCATCAAAACTTCTAACAAGGGAAACTAGGGAAGTGTGACTCGCCAATTTTGAAATAAACTAGTGGGATGAAAAAAACCTTATGAGGAATAATTTTAGGGGGCAACATTCGTTTCGGCCCATAGAATGTCCTGTGAGAGATAAAAAATAATTCAATATATAGAAAAATCGGCTTTTTATTACTTCAATGCAGACTATTAGTTATTGTAATTGTCTCATTCTCCAATTAATTTGTAATTAATTGGTTAATTAATTAATCTGACAATTAATAAAGTAATTAGCAAATTAATTAATTAATTATTAATTAATTATTAAGTAATTATTAATTAATTATTAATTAATTATTCATTAATTATTAATTAATTATTAATTAATTATTAATTAATTATTAATTAATTATTAATTAAATAATTATTTTATTTGCAATTACATACTCCAATTAATTTGGAGAAATTTTTTTAAAAAAAATTTAAAAAATTTGATGTCAATTTTTTTTTAAAATTAACATAACAGGTTTTTCTGAAAAACTACAGATATGGGTCATTCTCACAAAAACAGTCATTTTCATGTCCCCAGTATATTTTATGTTTGTTTTACAGCTTACGAAAAAAAAAAATTCAGGGAAAGTGTCCTTCAGAATGCAAGCTAACAAAAGAATAAAAATAAAATTATCAATTTTTATTTTTTATTTATTTTAGGTAATTAAAATATACCAATATGTCATTCCCTCACTTGTCCCCACTGCTGATTTAAAAAAAGAAAAAAATTGTTTCTGAAATAAAAATTTTTTTTTTACAAATTCGTGTTTTTTATTTCAGAATACTGAAATATAGAATTCAGAAAATCAATTTTAAATTTAATTTCTGATAAAAATATTAACACAGCACTATTTTAAACTTTGTCCCCAGTGTTTCGCGTCATTCCCTCACAACAATGTTCTTATCACCTGCAATCTTCTTAGAATAAAAATATTTTAATAAAAACTTCAGAAGTTAACAACTGGCATCATAGAACAAAATTGCAGTATGTTTCCATCTTCAACTTAAAGAAGCTTTGCTGTGGAATAAATTTGAATGAATCAAACCAGGTAAAATTTTTTACATTTGTCATTCCCTCATGTCATTTTTTAGAGTAAAATAAAATACAACTTCATCGAGAAAGTGGATAATTATATGTTGCTTTCTTGTATGAATATAATTGTATGTGATTGACTTCAGAAATTAATTAGGCCTAACTGTTATTTTTAAATTTTATTGAATTCGTCATTCCCTCACTAGTGTATAAAGTGAGGGAATGACGCTGAAGTGAGGGAATGATTCAAGATGAGTATATTATCAAATTTTTTTTTGTTCAATCGTGCCAGCCAATTTTATTTCCCAAACCTGTAAAAACTATTAAATATATAAAACTAAATTATAATAAATAATAGATATACTTAATATGTTATCATTTTCAAACTTGAGGTAGCTGTAACTGAGAGAAAAACATGTATTGAAATAAAATATCATTCCCTCACTATCAATGTCATTCCCTCACTTTTCAAATAGTGAAATTAATTAATTAATTTAAATATTAAGTATAATTTAAAGGATATATATTTTCTTTATGATGCCATTACATATTTCTATTAATAAAAAAAGTTTCAGAGCTTTTTATTCATTTTATTTTTTTGGGATTTTATGAACCGAAAAATGAAAGTTTTTGTGAGAATGACCCATATATAAAATTTTCGAAATTAAGTTTGACAATAAATATGCAATTATATAGTACGTGAAAGTACCACAAAATTAATTGGAGTATGAGATAACTACAATAACTAATAGTCTGCATTGAAGTAGTAAAATACCGATTTTCTATATATTGAATTATTTTTTATCTCTCACAGGATCTTCTATGGGCCGAAACGAATGTTGCCCCCTGAAATTATTCCTCATAAGGCATACATCCCACTAGTTTATTTCGAAATTGGCGAGTCACACTTCCCAAGTTTCCCTTGTCAGATATCTGCCAAGTTTGTGCATGCTCTGTGTGCATAAGAAAAGAATAAAAGATGACTCAGCATTCATTGAAAAAGTTATAAACAGATTTGTACAGCAAATAAGACGATTATAATTCTTGTTTGATTAAACAATTTTTTAATTATCCAATTTTTTAATTGTTATGCATCAATAATTACTTAATTATTTGCTTTTGAATAAGAATATTTTTAATCAAAAATTTTTATAACAAAATTGTTTTTCTGTTTCTTTTTTATTGTTTATGTTGTTTATAGCGAAATGTTTTTCGTTTCTTGTATTATGTTTTTTGTTGCTTATAGCGAAAAGTCCACCATAACGACAGTTCAAGTGCTTTTTTATATGGTTGTTACGAAAGACTTCTTTACTGTAATTGATAATAGTTTTCATAGATATATCTATGATGAGGTTCTAAAATATTATTTTATGGAAGAGACTTATTGAAGTTTGAAGAATGTGATACAACTTTTTTGTACACTCTGGTAGCTGTAGCTTCCCCAAGCGTATGACCTTTTGATTTTGCTAGGGAAGAATTCTGAGATTTAAATGAAACTTTGCGCAGATCAGATAATTCAGAGCTCCAGAAAGATGAAATCAAGATTTCACGCGAGTTGAAAGTTATGTGACGAGTTTTGATGCGAAATGCAGAGATTTTTGGAACAAAACAAGTGCAAAAAATGTGCCTCGTTTACAAATAAAAAAAAATATGTATCCTTAACATATTCCTGATTTTTCACCGTTCTGTGTTTGTTTCTGTATTTGAGGATTACCGTTCAAAGACTTTGTTGTCAATTAGGTGTAGAGCTTTAAAAAAAATGAGGTGCCCAAAATGGTTGGTGTATAAGGGTCTTTTTTTTCAGTAAAAATTCCTTGAATTTCAATTTTCGATTTTGCTCTTTCCTTTCTCAAATATCAATTCATGCCTCCTAATGTGTATATTATTTTTTACTCCATTCAACTATAGCATTCCAAAAATACATATGTTCTTTACAGAGTTTTTTTTTGCGTTTAAACGCGTTAAATTGCTAAAATAATTATTTTAGTAATTTTGTAAAATGTATTGTTTAAAATAGTTTCCTTTTCTGATTGCTTCTTGATTTGTAAAAAGAAATTTTTCTTATTTTCAGAATATATATATATACATATATATAGCAAAAAAGAATAAGATTCTCCTAAATATGATAATAAATATTTTCCATGTATGCCGCATTAATAAAATATTCCTAAAATTTCATTTTTTTTTCTCGATGCAAAACGAGTTTGTTCTTCACTTAACAAATTTTAATCCTTAAAGCTATTCTGTTATCTTACCTATTTTCCCGTCTTTGTAAGATTGCTTTAACTATCAACAGTGCATGAAATAATTAATAAAGAGGCATTATTCTTCGTTCGTTTGCTTTTAATAAAAATAAAAACGAAATGAAAAGTAATTGTAAAGTATTTTTTGAAACAAATATGCTAATAAATCAGGAGGTCTATTTCAAATCGACCTTCGTTGCATTCTTTCCCTAAATATCTGAAATAAACCTGTCACTTTGTACAAAGATAAGCGTTTAAGTTCTTTGGTTGTACACGCAACATGAATTTTCAAAATCATATTTTCATGACATGTAACATTTTCAAACACTACATAAATGATAATTCAAGTATCATTCTCACTGCATGCATTCGCTTGTTCAATCGTACAGCCAATGCAATTCGCGCATGCACGAGCAGTTTATCCTTACTGTGTTATTTATACAGCCGCACGCGTGTCTAGTTGCACCAGTCGATCGCCGTTGACAAAGAAAAGTATCTGATTGGTGAAATATATTGTGCTGAGAAAAAACTCACCAATCATGTTCTCTTTTTCTCTGGATCATTATTTGCAGTAAAAATAAAACTTCAATGAAAACAGTTAAGATTTATTTTGCGTTTCTTATCATAAATTACGTCTGGCAATGACAGTGAGTCAGTTGTGGTAGTAAACATTTCATGATTCATAAACTTTATTTTTAAAATTCTATAAATTTAGCTCTCATAAAATCACTGCAAATGTAAGTTTGATTGTTTTTTTTATCTAATTCTTTTTTTCCTGTATCTTAGTATTTATTCTTCGATAGTTCTGTATAATTTGGCGATTTATTAGATGACATTGAAATAATCTGATTTGCTTTAAATATTTTAATTCAACTCAAATTTTACTGTTGTTTTTGCTCAGTGGTTTCAAATTACTTTAGAAACTAAAATGTATTTTGACGCCAGAAATTATGGTCATATTGTCCGATGTCGAAATCTTTCCTTATTTGTTATTATTGGTTATGTAATTATAAACAAATATGAGCCTTTGGCTCACAAAAGGTTCCGGTCTTTTACTAAATATTTCAAAATAAATCTTCTGATGTGTACAGTTAAAAAAATTACCCTGCATGTTTGCCTGGACTATTTATTTCCTTGAAATAATTAATTATCAACCTCTTATATGTATTAGAAACATTCATACAAATTTTTAAAGCGAGTAATGAAAAATTACTAAGTTGAAATTTATGTATCTAATTTATAATCCAATTTCTCACGGTTGAAATTTATATATCTAATGTGATTATATGATATCCTATCTAAAATTTATGTATTTAATATATAGCCAAATAAAAATTAAAGAAACTTACAATTTCATTAGCAAGTTAAAAAAGTGCAACTCATAATGCTAAAAAATAAGTGCCATATTCATGCCAAAAAAAAAATAATTGCCATCATGGTTAGGTAAAATGTTTTAAATTAGTTTTCTTAAAGTTTTATTTTTAAGTTTTTTTCAAAGTATTCTGTTGGTTTTCGAAAATAGTAGTGCTTAGTCACCTTATGTAGGTTTGTAGCTATAATTTCTTCTTATTTAATTAATTTGAAATGGTTCATTAAGTTACTTGTCAATTTTAAAGCCCAAACAGTTCTTTTCCACTTAAAAGTATATAAATAATTTAAAATTGAAACTTTGCTTTAAACTAAAAACACCCAAATTGTGTATTTTTCTTTATATTTCTTGACAAACAAGCATCTTAAAATACCCTTAATGCAGGTCCTGCGTTAGGTTATCTTTAAGTGTTAATGTAAAACATTACAGAGGATCAAAAATTGGAAGATCATATCTTCAATTAGAATGGAACCAAAACTATCAAACTTTTTAAAGTTTTTTTTTTTTTTTTTTTTTTAAATTGAGAAAATGACCATTTTTTTAAACTAAAATATTTAAAGTTTATTGAGTTCATGTGATGAACTTGAAAATCAAGATGCATTTTTGTGTTGGTACTTATAATTAAATTTGTCTTGCAGCATGCTGCCTCTAAATAAAAAACTTTGGAAAACAATGAAATGGGGTGCAATTATAGGACTTGGAATTGATGCTGTAAGTCTAGCGGGTGGCTACTATCTATATCATCAATTAACTCGATCTAGAGGTAATAAAAAGTTGAAAACAGTGTCATCACCTTTAAAAAAGTCTGTTTTTATTTTAAATTTGAATCATAATTTTTAAAATTTACATTTGGTTAATTATTTTTTCTAAAATTCAATTGATATCATGTACTAAATGTTTTTAATTATGTAATTTGAGGAAGTATAATCATGTTTGCCTTTTTCTTTTTTGGCCAAAGGAAGGAAAAAAAAGTATGGCAAATTATGTATTTAGAAAAGGCACATGCTGGCCAATGATTTAGAAACTTGTGAGATTTTCTATTAAGTGCTCACTAGCCACCAAGCAAGCAATATATATTTATGATGTGGGGGAAACTTTATCAGAACGCTAGTACAAGTAACGTGTTTATACTTCACGATAAATGCTGTAGAATGATTAAAAATTTTATTTTATAACCATTGTTTTATAGCTGATCTATTTTTTGGGTATATGACTACCAGTGTTCAAATTCGTAGCCTTGTATTTTTGAAGCCAATCTTCAACAAGGAAACTCTGGGCCAATTATTGGGAGAAATTTGCCTTCGTTTTTAATGAAACTCACCTGCATTTTTGTTACATGGAGAGGAAAGTCACAAAAACCTTCCATGGTTGCTTGATTGCAAGGGGACTCTAATCAATAATCTGTCCACCACTGAAGATTTTTGCATCAACATCGTGGTCGGCATGAGCTGCGTGCAAAATTCATGTTGACCTGCCATCTCCTGGATTCAAACCTGGAGTCAGTTCATGCAGTCTTTACCCTGAGCCGCCACAGAAATTTGAAAATCTCTACCATTTGAAAAAAAGATATTATTGTTGGTCATATTTAAAAGAAGCCATTATTCTGAAGACCATAGTACTCACTGGGTTTTCAAAAGCAAGTGTATCAAAAGTTGGAAATAGAGAACCCTTCATTGTCTGGAAGATGTAATTATGGTTTGAACGCAATTAACCAAGACCTTTGATTGAGGAATTGCGCAGCTGAAAGCAGATTCTTGTATGCTTCAGCTAACAAAAACCTTCAACCAAGGTTTTTCGAATCTGATTTTGGCCAAAAGTATGCCCGAAGAACAGGATGTTTTGCTGGTTTGGAAATGGTGCCTTGGTGCGATGATAAACAAAAAGTCATACAATACCTGCACACATTGACAGATCAACTGCATCATGCAATGTTACATTTTTACTCAGAAGGTGAGCGATGGAGGCCAATGCAACCATATATTATGTCAGAAGCATGCAAAATTGATATAATGCAAATCAATCTAGCTTTCAACACCTTCCCTGCCTGCCATAAGGCCTTTATGTTAACTCTATCGAAAGTGTTTGAGATATGTTGGAAAGGTACATCCAATAGCATGTAGTCTCTCTCTCTTTTTTTTTTTTTTATCTAGTTCACAAGGCCTTACAGTCTGCACAGCCAGTGCCATTTCTTAGGCATAAATGCATTACAGAAGCTTTTAAAATCAATATCCTTGCAAAAATAGATTGTTATATGTGCAAAAAGGAGTCCAATAAAATATTGGTTAAATATAATAAATAAAAAAGAGGTCCAATAATATATCTCAGATTTCTATTTCAGTGGTCTTTGTGTATGATTTTTATCTTATGTATGATTTTTTCAAGTTAAAACCATTTGAAAATTGAAAGAAATTTTTCTTGTTTATTAAAATTAAATTATAACAAGCATAACTTTCCTGGATAAAATTTATTTTTATATATTTAATTATTATTTTTAATGTACATACATATAAATATAATGTTTTTTTTAGTGTATAAAAATTTATGTTTGTATTATTATTGTAATACATAGTAAAAATCATTTTAAAACCATTTTTCTTTTTAGATTTTAGGTATAAGGTTTTCAATTATGATCCTCGAATTCTAGATGGTGAGAGTTTATAGAATATTTTTTTTACATTTTTAAAAATTTATTCCTTTTTACCGAAAATGTATTAAGAATCTTCATATATCAGATATAATTTATTTTGCCTATTTTCAGTTTATTATCGAGCAAATGAAAAATATGGAGATGGAAAGATTAGACATGAAGATCTTGAAAAATGGGGTGTACGAGAAATTAAAAGCTTTGAAAATCTCAGCTTATTTGGTTGGTACAATTTGATATTCTGTTAATTTTAATTATTGTTATTTAATGAAACTTGTTTGTTCTGTGTTGTAGTATTTTTGCTGTGATTTTCCATATAGTTAAGAAAGATAAAAACTGTCCCAATATAAATAATATGTTATACTATTATTTATTCTTGTCAAATAAATACTGTTAATCCTTCGAAATTATTTTGATATATAAACATGTTTGTTTGTGTATGGAGAAGTTTGTAAAAATAGTAATTTTTTTTTAAATATATGAGGTCAGGCCCTATCTAGGGCTAGATGCATTAAACTTACATAAATTATTTGTCTGTGTACTTGCATTTAAGATATAAATCTTTTCAGTCACAAATCCTGCGTCTAAATATTAATTTAAAAAAAAAAAGCTTTTTAACTGCCAAAAATCTAGGATTTAAAGAAGTTAAATAATACTAATTGGCAATCAAATTTCCATTTGAATTGCCATTAGTTCTATTAAACATGTGTGAATGTAAAGTCTGATTTAAACGTAAATACTAATTTTCTTAGTTATGTTGCATTTTTGTTTGTAAACAGCTCTTTTAAGCTAATTTTGTAAATTTATTGTTTAAGCTAATTTTTTAAATTTATTGTTTTTTATTTAATTGATCAACACTTCAAAATCATGTACAAAAGTGATAGATATGCTCTAACACAATTAATAAAGCTAAAATAATTCCCATTTTTCATTTATTCATTTTTATTTGTTGCCCTTGCCAATACTTGCCCTCAATTAAATTGATCAAAATGAGTTTTTAGAAGTTCATTCCATCATAATAAAGATTAACGGTATCCAGTAGCATCTGGTATGTTAAATTCGCTTGAGGCCAATTACCACAATTGAGTAATTCTTTTGGTCCTTTTCCCTTTCTAAGGAGAGGCGTAGACTTTGTCAAAAATAGTAAGATGATTCAAGGAATTAGTTTCTTTTCTTCATTAATTTTGCTTTTAGTACATATTTTTTTTCAATTATCAGTAATTTTAATTTAAATAGTTTTATAAAAACACATTTTAAAAGCAAACAAAACAAGCATGTGGCCAAAAATTTAATCATCTAAATTGAGCAATGTGAAATTCTATATTGTCTTGACTTTCTAATATAATATTTTAAGTCTCAAAATGCTTGATATTCTATGTATTTAAAAGGGTAAAACTTGCTTGTCTGTGGAGACTGCTAGTATATTTATCTTAAAATATTAAAGCAAAAACATATTTTTTGAATAAAAAATATTTTTATTGGTCTTACACTCCTATATATTGTTCCAGCCATAAAAAAAAACTATTAAAAAGGTTGAGCCCTTAATTTCAATAAAGTAACTTGACATTCTCACTTGCATACTTTTTTATATTTTTTGTTATAGATGTAAGAAGAAACAAAACTTGGATAGAAAAAACATGCAATTTAAGTTTTTTGAAATGTTTAGTTAATGGTACTAGAGGCATTTAAACTATAAGGAATGTGCTTGCCCTTATACTTAGTCTGCTTTTTTGGTATGGAATAAACATGGATCTGCAACATGGAGTCCCAATTCAAATTTCTTCAACTTTTGAGAAGTTTATCCTTGAATGGTTATAAATTGTTTAGCAATTGATTTTTCATTTGATTTAATTTATAATTTTCACATGACGTCATTATTCTTTATTTATTGATAACTTTTTTTTATCACTATTTTAAATATTTCTTTAAGAAAATTAAACTACAATAAAAGATTTCAAATTTATCAAAATAATAAAATACAATACACGATTTTTACTTAGGATACATTCCTGCTGAATATAGTTTGACCATTTCACTTTAAATGATTCAATCAAATTCTTACTTTCTAAGTGAATGTTTTATTTAAATTTTTATTTTAATGAAAAAGTGTAAAAAGAAAAAAAAAAACATTGTCAATGCAGCGTAGGAAAATATTTCTTGTTAATATGAAAAGTTTGTTTTCAAAATATTCAAATTTTACGTAAAGTCATTTATTTATAACAAAAAGAGAAAGTAAGAATACGTCCAATGTTCTCTTAAGATGAAAACCTATTAAACTTTTCAGTTTGTTTCTTAATGTCATCTTCAGAACAGTTTGGAGTGTGCTCCAAGACCTCTGTGTTGGAGAACATACTTCTTGTTTTTGGTCTTCGAACTACGTGTTATTTTTCTATTAAACTCTCTTATATATAGCATATAGTTTTTTCAACATGATCATTAACATCTGGAAATTGCTTCCATAATTTTTGTTCTTTTGAATAACCTTCTTCATACTTCCAGACTTGTAGAACTAGGTGAAAAAACTTATCAAGTGAACTCATTCTTTCAAAAATGCTTTCTGATCGCTTTGTGACAAAGTCCTCAACTATAATGCTCATAAAAGTTTTGAGCTTAATTATTTTTTCCAATAACTTCTTTCACATTCATTACTATTTACCTTTTGATTTAATGAGACATTTGATTGTTGAAAAAAAAAGAGGTAAAGCACAATATGATCTTATAATTATTTGAAAAAGTTATTGCAGCTTTAAAAAAAATGCTATTGTTTTTAAAAACCAAAAAAAAGAAAGAAAAATGTGTTCCGGGTTAACATTATGCTCTGAGAATTTTCTACACCCTTGCAACAAATTTAGAAAGTATGGTCCTCCCTATACTTAAGCCAAGAGAGTGGCCCAAAGTTTTGGCCTCATAATGTTCATCTCACATTTTGCTTATTTCATGCTATGTTAAGAAGTATTGTTACGAATTAATTCTTTTTGGCGTCGTCAATTCGTCGCCAATCAAATTATATTTTATTTTAGTTGTTCTCGATACACTCATGCCCGAAGGAGCCTTTCCTGAAACTCCTATTTCTCATATTTTGTTGTTTTGTTTTCAGTCTAATTATTATTTTTTCATTGTTACGTTTGTTAATAAATATAGAAGCACATATTGATTGTTTTCTTACTGACCAGGGCATCAAATGTTAGAGATTTACGTATATCCCGAAACTCGAAATATATTTTCTATCAAGTATCTAAATTATTGAAAATAATTTTGCACACTATTCATCTAAATTTTTTTTTTATAAGCTATTTCAAAGAAATTTATGTCTAGATAGCATAATAGCTTTTATCAACATGAAGGCAGGCAAACTGCAGTTGATTTTTTATTTTTTTTATTGATAGGTTCATATTTGGAATTATTAAAAGAGCTTCGAAACTATTGCCAAACTCAATTTTCTGATTTCCTTTTTTAACTGCATCATATTTTTTATAGTTTAATTTTTTGATTTGTAAACGAATATGATTTTTAGATTGTAACTCATAATTGATAATGTGTAGTTTGTATATGCTTTTAGTGAGACACATCTACCATATTTCTCTTAAAAGTTAATTTATCGAATATTAATAGAAGTCATCTCTAAATGTTTTATTTACCATTCATTTTTTTTTAATGTTTGTATCAAATGAATTTTTATACTAAAACTTTGCATTACAAATGTATATTAATAGTAAAATCCTAAATTAAATACTGATATAAAAAAAAGAAACCATTTTCAAATTGAAAATCGATATCGACCAGCTAAAACTTCACATTTCAAAACCAGTCTGCCAGAGCAATTTTTCAGCCCTTTCTAATTGTTCTGCTCTAACAAATAGAAATTAAGGGGATTGTGTTTTAATTTTATCTCTAAAATAGTGGCTGATTTTTTTTAATAGTATGACTTTTATAATAAGTACATTTAACAATGTTTTTTTTTTCTTATTTAAACTATCATTTGTTTTTGATTGCTTAATTTTAGGAAAAATATCTTAAAAATTGTTATGAAAGGCAAAATAAAAAGGCTTTTCAAAATTTGATGTTCATACTTATTCGATGTTCATGCAAAATTTGAGTATACTTTAACTTTGCATAGGTTTAGCATCATAAGGTCTTAATCTTTTCTAATTATTAATTGACTTACTTATTAAAATTACAAATGAAAATCTAAGTTTCCTTTTTTTTTTTCTTTTCAGGTTTATGAAATGTTAGGTTGTGTGTTAATCAGAGTGCTGTAAATAGGAGTTATTGTAGAAATATGTTATAACTTAATAAAAAGTATTTTTTAATTCGTTGTTTATCTATTTGATTATGTTCACCATGATTGTTTTCAGTATTACGAAACCTGTTGAGGGCATGCGAAATATGCTGCCTGCCAACTACAGTCGACTAACCATCTAAAAACTCTTATCATAAACAAAAAAAAAATTATGAACATTAGTAGGGATTGCAAATTAATATTGAAACAGGAGGTAACCCCCAAAATAGTAATAATAATAATATGAATAAAATCTAATGTAGAACTGAGATCTGGAAACACCTATGCTAGTTAGATAACCTGAGAAAATTTGAGAGTGTCTCTAACAATCTCCTTTCAACTTCTCTGTTCCCTTTAGCAGTCAAACAAGTTTTAATGTTTTCAGGTCTGCCTTTCACAGTAGTGATTCATTAAATTTTGATAGTTTTTGTTTTTTCTAACTACGAAACAAAATTTCTATCTTTCTGAGAAAGGCGGAAATGAAAGCATCAAAATCAGTTTGATTGCTCAAGGAAAATTGCAGGTGCTTTTTGGTTCTTCCTGTTCTTATATAGCTTATTATATAATAGATGTTTGCTGTTATCCGTCCCGCTATCTTCAGAAGTGATTTCATAAATTTCGTTTTTCCTTTCTGAAACATTTATTTATGATCTTTAATGTGAAAGTTTCATTTGGCAAGGATTTTAAAAGAGGGTCTTTATGTAACACTCGTAATAGTGTTGACGACCTTAGCAGTTTATTTTTTCCTGAAATATCTGTTTATTTTAAACTATCAAAATAACCTTGCCACAACCAACGGTACATTGTCTTTTATATTGAACACATTCTTTAAAATAGTTGGTTTGAAATAAATTAGCTGGAACTGACAAATTTTTATTGGTGAAAGTAATTTATATATTTAGTGCAATGACTAAATGCAATTACCTAAAGCTATGACCATACATTTTCTACAATTCATATAATGTCTAACGCTCATGCACGTAATACGAATAACAATTATGTAGGAAATGCAAAATATATATTGTAATTTTATTTTCATCAGAGCTATGTAAAAATTTCTGTTTTAGAAATGGTGCTATTTGTATCCGTATGAAATTTGTATCAACTATGGTAAAATGATTTTGAAAAATTATTCAGAAAAGAACCTGCCTAAAGTAACAGAAATAGTAAATGCAGTCAGCTAAAGTCAATATTCTCTTCCTTCAGACAAAGACAAACATAGATTTCTTGTAGCATCGTTTTGCTTTGTTCACGAGATTCTTTTTTTTTGATCTCATCTAATTTACTAAACAGCTGTTGTACAAAATCAAACAAAAATCTGAAGGTATCAGCTATGTTCGTGTCAGTAAATATTGTATTTTTCTACCGACATATTCTTCATTTACATTTTTAATTGTTTCTTTCCGGGTGGTTTATTTCATTCTTCAATTTAAGTTCCTCGAAACTGATTTTCAGGTTCATTTTGATTAACCGTTTATAGATTCGCGATTATCTATAAAAGATTTTCACTACAATATCTTGGCCCCAATTAAGTTTAAAATTTGCTGAGTATTAGGATCTACAAGGAATATATTGAAAAACCAAGATTGGAATGCATAATTCCCCTAGATATGTTTGAGGCAATCATATTAGACATGGTTTTCTTTGACTGACATGGTATCGGTCATCTGCTGTGCTGGATGCCAATATGGCTTACTCTCTTAAATAATTAAAGATGTAGTGTGCGCTTGGAGATGTTGATTACACTCAAGTGGAAAAATACTGGAGGTGGAGCTTACAGGAGCTGAATACTTGAAGGTAAACACCTGAAGAGTTAAAACCATTGAGTTCCTTCTTGCTTTGCTGATGAAGATACATTAAAGCAGAAGAGATCTTACGATCTTATCTATCTCCGTAAAAGGACCTTCAGTAGTAGTTCATTTACGTCGCACTAGAGCTGCACAATGGGCTATTGGCGACGGTCTAGGAAACATCCCTGAGGATGATCCGAAGACATGCCATCGCAATTTTGATCCTCTGCAGAGAGGATGGCACCCCTGCTTCGGTAGCACGCGAAGTCGAGCACTTCACGGTAGAACAGATTAACGAGGACCAATACCGCGCACCCTCGGTCCCTACGCAGACTGATCCAAGTGGTCACCCACCCGCACACTGACCGCAGCCAGTGATGCTTGACTTCGGTGATCTGCTGGGAACCGTGTCTTAATAATCAGTCCACTGCGGGACAAAAGGACTTTCAGAGTCCTTGCTAGTTTCAAAGCATTATCCAAAGAGGGCTTCTTCGGAGCTGTTTCAGTCGAAATTTACAGCCAAGTTCGATGGGTGTGTTTGACTCCGATTGGTCCTTCTCGCTGAAGTAGGCTTACTTCATTCCTCTGTGTAATTGGTGGCTCCCAGCAATGACTGATCGATACAAGTTCCGCAGCCGGCGTGCACTGACCACAGTGCTGTTGGGAAATATCTTCAGCAGTAGATGGATCATGGGTTAGAATCTTTTTGCCATCAGGCTAAACATAGAAAGTTTTCATGGTTTTTCTCTCCATGTAGGGCAGATGCTGGTTAATTCCATCACACAGTTTTTCACTGGGTAAATTTCTTCCCATACTTAATCCAGAAGCTCCCTTGTTTTCTGACTAGGGTTAAAAATTACAAGGCTATGGAGTTCAACATTGGTAGTCGTAAACTGAATAAAAAATTGTGCCAGATTTTCAAAGACAGATATGAAATAAGAAATAAAATGCATCCGTTACGTGAGGCATAACTGACTGTTTGAAATGAAAAAATTATTTTTTATTATTAAATACATAAATAAAGAACCCCAGTGGCTCAGAAGATAGAGAGTTCACTTCCCAATGAGGGGGTCTAGGTTCAAATTTCAGCAGTGGCTGACGTAAAATATCCTCAGTGGTTGACGGAACATGGGTTATAATTCCCTCGTCGACATTGGTTTTCCTCTTCCTGTAACACAAAAATGGATTAGTTCCATCAAAAAGTCCTCCATTAAAGCTAGTTTCTCCCCATGCATTATCCAGGAAGGTATTTCATTGTCTTCTGGATTGAGATCAAAGTTACAAGGCTATGGAATCGAATATTGATTGCTGTAAACTCAGAATTGGGTCAACTGTTCATCGCCGGTTATAATATGCATTTTATTTTATTTTACAGTCGTCGTTGAACAACCGACCCAATTTTTTCGGTTTTACGACAACTAATGTTCAACTCCGTAGCCTTGTAATTTTGAAACCGATCCAGAAGACAAGGGAATTTCTGGATCAAGTATTGGAAGAAATTTTCCTTCGTGGAAAACTTTTTGATGGAACTCACTCGTATTTTCGTTATATGGAGAGAAGAACTACGAAAACAGCCTACGGTTAGCCTGACTGCAAGGAACTCTTACCCATGACCCGTCTACAGCTGAGGATATTTAACGCCAGCACTGGATTCGAACCCGGGTCACCTCATTAGAAGGTGAACTCTCTCCTCATCCATCACGGCTCTTATAATATTTATTTATAAGGTTTTTCCTCTAGTATGAACAAAATAAGGTTTATTAATTTTCAGTGAGAAAATTTTTTTTAATACACGCCACCCATGCACAGTGTTTTTATTCACAATGTATGAATAAAGTTTTTTCCTAGTATGAAAAGTTGTTGAGCATTTGAAAAATTTTAAAATGTACCAAAACCTCTTTTGTCAATGAAAGTACATTCTTTTGAATTCCAAAAGCACAGTTAGATTTTAGAGAATACATTCAAGATAGTTTAGGATGAGTGATTACAATTGACTTGCCATTGTCTCAAGGGACTTTCTGTGCCGTGTGCCCGAAGCACGTGACAGAATTAAGTGTTCTTAAACGCTTCCATCATATGCCGATATCGATCACCACCCACAACAGTTAATTCAAAGCTTGGATGCATTTTTCAGTTTTGAATATTTTGAACAGAACTAAAGCCTTTTGCTTTGTTCTGCTTTCCTTTGTTACGATTGTATAGTATATCATAATATAAAATGTGGCAGAGTTAGAAAATAATAGGTTAATATTAAGGGGAGATATGGGGTCATTTATGTGCTTAGTATATTAGCCACAAATTCTCCATTTTTAAGCTATTATTATCGCTCTTATAACAAAGAAATATAATTTAAGGAAAAGGAATATTTTATTTAAGTTACAATATTGATAAAAAAAATATTTAAAAAGACGTAAAATATACTTTTTAAAATATTGACCCTTAACCGGGTTCGTACTCCAGTCCTTTGAGTCTTCTTACTTGCTGCTTTCAAGCACGTAACACTAATGGCCACGTCACACACTGCCCGTGATTTCAAACCCTAAATTTAAAGTGACTAGTACATTTGCTCGCTATTTTCACAACCAGTACCGCACAAAAAAAAGAAATAATAACGGTAATAAAAGAAATATATTTTAAAAAATGAAATAATTGCCATGATTTTAACAGCATGAGATCAGAAGCATAAATGGCGAAAACATAAATCCTTTTACCTTTTTTTCCAACAAAATCCAACTTTCACGTAGGCATACATATCAAATAAATAATCAGGTTTAAGAATTTTGTTGTAGTGATCGTTCGGTCAAAATTATCTCCCCGAAATATTTTACGGAAACCTAGTTTAGCGAGATTTCAAAAACCTGCCTGATGAGATTTAAAATTCTTCGCGCTTCTGACTTTTCATTTCGTATATTGTTTTTCGATGCATAAGTTAGATTTCAGGATCCCTTCTTTTGACTGCAAATTGATATAATAAAATTTGCTAGTATAAAATTAAAAATATAAGATGAAACACAAAAGAACTCAAATTAAAACGAAGGGGATGAATTTTTAGACTAACACAATTTTTTGGCCAACAATACTAAGTCTTTTATGCAAGCGCAGGAAATATGCGACTTTTGACCATCTAAAGAATTTTTTAATCAATGGAGTCCTTCTATTGGCAATAACATTGAAGTAACAATTTTCAAATTGAGACTAAATATACGAGTTTTTTTAATATATATATACATACATATATATA